AACTGAATAGCTTAAAAACCTGGCTGGGAATAAATTTCTGATCCCATGTCAAATCAGGGTGTAGTCAGGGTAGGCATTTTCGTACAGGAATGACCCCCCGGGGCGGGGCCAATTTTGACCCCTGGGCTTTAATTTGAACAAACTTGGTAGACACTCACTAGAAGATGTTTCATGCTTAATATCTTAGCTCTAGCTCTTTGTGTTCTTTAAAAGAAGATTTTAAGTTTTTACTATATGCATATAGGGAAAATCAATGACCCCATGGCGCGGGGCCAATTTTGACCCCAGGGCTTTTATTTGAACAAACTTGGTAGACATTCACTAGAAGATTAGATGTTTCATGCTTAATATCTTAGCTCTAGCTCTTTGGGTTCTTTAAAAGAAGATTTTTTAAGTTTTTACTATATGCATATAGGGAAAATCAATGACCCCCCGGGGAGGGGCCAATTTTGACCCAAGGGCTTTTATTTGAACAAACTTGGTAGACACTCACTAGAAGATGTTTCATGTTAAATATCTTAGCTCTAGCTCTTTGGGTTCTTTAAAAGAAAATTTTTTAAGTTTTTACTATATGCATATAGGGAAAATCAATGACCCCCTGGAGCAGGGCCAATTTTGACCCCAGGGCTTTTATTTGAACAAACTTGGTAGACACTCATTAGAAGATGTTTCATGTCAAATATCTAAGCTCTAGCTCTTAGGGTTGTTTAAAAGAAGATATTTAAAGATTTTTCTTTCGGTTGCCATGGCAACCAGAGTTCTGCATGGACAGGGCTCATCCGGAAGGGCGATTCAGGCGAAAACTTCGCCGTGTATATTCCAATTTCGCTCTTTCGATTGATCAAAGAGAAGTCAACATCGCCGATAAAATCTTAATTCCCAAATAGTAATTACTTAGCGATGTAAAGAGCAGAGATTGTATCCGCCCATATGACGACCGCTAATTATCATTATCCAATCAGAGCGTCGCTTTATACTACCCTTCTACCTGTAAGCGAAGCGATAGACCGCCTACTCTAAACAGTAAATAATGAGAGCATCGGCCCGAAACGGTATAATTGTGTGATAGTTTTGCGAGTTTAATACGGGATTTGGCGATAATTATAAATTGTTTTTTCCTTGATTATCTAAACACGTGCAATCTTCCCTAATTGATATACACGATGCACTTCGATGGTGGGTTTTTAACCCGAGTAAAGGCGATGTGCAATGGATTTTTCACGGCTATCACAAAACTGTTAGTCAATTAAAAACAAGAGGGCCATGATGGCCCAAAGTCGCTCACCTGTATAGAGGCCCCTGAAGCGGGGCCAGTTTTAACCCCCAGGGCTTTTATTTGAACAAACTTGGTTGTATATGTATGCATGTAATATATATATATATATATATATATACATATATATATATATATATATATATATATATATATATATATATATATATATATATATATATATATATATATATATATATATATATCTATATATATATAATATATATACATATACATACATACATACATACATATATATATATACATAATATGTATATATATATATGTATATATATATATATATCTATATATATGTATATATATATATACATATATATATATATATATATATATATATATATATATATATATATATATATATATATTTATATTAAATATATATGTGTATATATATAATATGTTTATATCTAAAAAAAAAAAAGTCAAGCTAATGAATGACCCCCGGGGCGGGGCCAATTTTTGACCCCAGGGCTTTTATTTGAACAAACTTGGTAGACACCCATGAGAACATGTTTCATGCTAAATATCTTAGCTCTAGCTCTTTGAGTTCTTTAAAAGAAGATTTTTTAAGTTTTTACTATATGCACATAGGGAAAATCAATGACCCCCGGGGGCGGGGCCAATTTTGACCCTAGGGCTTTTTATTTGAACAAACTTTGTAGACACTCATTAGAAGATGTTTCATGCTAAATATCTTAGCCTCTAGCTCTTTGGGTTCTTTAAAAGAAGATTTTTTAAGTTTTAACTATATGCATATAGGGAAAATCAAAAGACACCCTGGGGCGGGGCCAATTTTGACCCTAGGGCTTTTATTTGAACAAACTTGGTAGACACTCACTAGAAGATGTTTCATGCTTTATATCTAAACACTAGCTATCTGGGTTTTTTCAAAGAAGATTTTTTAAGTTTTGCTATATACACAGTCATATAAGGAAAATCAATGACCCCCGGGGCGGGGCCAATTTTGACCCCAGGGCTTTGATTTGAACAAACTTTGTAGACACTCACTAGAAGATGTTTCATGCTTAATAGCTAAACTCTAGCTATTTGGGTTTTTTTAAAGAAGATTTTTTTAAGTTTTTGCTATACACATATAAGGAAAATCAATGACCCCCGGGGCGGAGCCAATTTTGACCCCAGGGCTTTTATTTGAACAAACTTGGTAGACACCTATTAGAACATGTTTCATGCTAAATATCTTAGCTCTAGCTCTTTGAGTTCTTTAAAAGAAGATTTTTTAAGTTTTTACTATATGCATATAGGGAAAATCAATGACCCCCTGGGGCGGGGCCAATTTTGACCCTAGGGCTTTGATTTGAACAAACTTGGTAGGCACTCATTAGAAGATGTTTCATGCCAAATATCTAAGCTCTAGCTCTTACGGTTTTTTTAGAAGAAGATTTTTTTAAGTTTTTTCTTATTGGTTGCCATGGCAACCAGAGTTTTTAATGGAATTTAAATTTTTGAACAACTTTGAAAGGGGTCCACCTAAGGATCATTTCTGTAAAGTTTGGTTGCAATTGGCCATGTAGTTTAGGAGGAGATGTTGTTTGAAAAGTTTGACGCCATTTTTTGAAGGACGCACGACGCACGACACACGACGCACGACGGACGCAGAGTGATGACAAAAGCTCACCTTTGAGCACTTCGTGCTCAGGTGAGCTAATAATCAATTTCATTAATGATCAGCAACCAGATTAAAAACTTAATCATAGTTTTGAATGATTTCAGTCTGTTAACATCAATTTTTACTGTAAAATTGTTATGTCGCTCACGTCATGGCTACAAGGCGAAATGCCGAAACCGAGCAGTAAGAAAGTCACTGATTCTGATAGTTACACCTACGCGAAAATTTAAGAAAGCCAATTCGCAAAAATCTAAGATTATCTTGCGATTGGTATGTTGTAGACAGTAGGGGTGTTTGGCATTGTTCTCTTTGTAGAAATGCCAAATTTGACACAGTTTAAAAGACATCCCGTCTTAACTAGACATATCGGTCGTATATCATGTAACAACAACATTTGTCTGGAAAGAAGTGTTCTTATTGTTTCAAAATAAATTCGTAAATATGACGCTCAGATTAAGATTTATCAATATTGTAAATTTTAAAAAGCATTATTTATAAAGATATTACCGAATTTAACATTTCATGAAAATAAAGGGAGGTAATTAGAAATTAATTTTCTACAATTTCTCAGTCAAATTTTTCAATAAGAAATATAATGTGCACAAGTGTTTGCAGTACATATTTTACATATTCTTTGATGTTTGAAAATTGTTTTATAAGCATAATTATATGCATATAAATGTGACATTACAACCTTCAGGACTTTGAGAGGAATTTCTGTTACCAGAACAGGATAGAACAGATATTGTTAATCAATATCCAATGTCACTTCATCTTCTTCTAAAGGTGAAGAAAGTAAAGTAAAAAATATGAAATTGATTTTATCATCATATCTTTTCTTACACATTATTATCAACAAATGTACATGAAAATATATAAACACATATTTAGAGAAAGCTTATAAATAGCTGATCAATAGATATCAAATATAATTTTTTATATTCATATATGCAGCTCAAAAACATTTAGATGCCATTGCCTGATCTACTACTAAATAATTAATCTACTTTTAATTAATATACTATTAATTAATCTACTATTAATTAATAAACTGGAGAAATATTATAAGTGATGTTAATTGTGTTTATATTATAATTAAAGGATGTATAGCCATGCATGTTAATGCATACACATTGGGTTGTTTCCCTTCTCTCTAATTTTCGCGAGGTCGTCACTTCTCCCTAAAATTTCCCCCCAGGATGAGCCCTGATGGAATTAAATTCTTTGAACAATTTTTAAAGGTGACCACCAAAGGAACATTCCTGTGAAGTTTGGATGAAATTGGCTCAGTGGTTTATGAGGAGATGTCATTTAAAGCAAAAGTTTACGGACGCCGGACGGACGGACGCCGGACGAAAAGCGATCACAAAAGCTCACCCTGTCACTTTGTGACAGGTGAGCTAAAAAAATACAAAAAATAAATAATAAATAAAATGAACAAATAATAAGAATTAAATAATAAAAAATGTGGTGGAAGTGGAAGTGAAAGTGGTGGTAGTGGTAGTAGTAGTTGTAGTAGTAGTAGTAGTAACAGTACAAAGAAGCAGTAGTAATTGTAGTAGTAGTATTAGTAAGTAGCAGTAGTAAGTAGCAGTAGCAAGCTACAGTTGTAATGGTAGAAGTAGTAGTAGTAAGAAGAAGTTGTAGTAGTAAGAAGAAGATGAAGCATAAGAAGTTTAAGAAGAAGAAGAATGAGTAGTAGAAGTAGTGGTAGTTGTGGTAGTAGTAGTGGTAGTTGTGGCAGTGGTAGTAGTAGTAATAATAGTAGTAGTAGTAGTAGTAGTAGTAGTAGTAGTAGTAGTAGTAGTAGTAGTAGTATAATTAGTAAAAGTAGTGGTACTAGAAAAAGCAGTGGTAGTGGTGGTAGTAGTAGTAGTAGTAGTAGTAGTGATGGTAGTTATGGTGGTGGTTGTAGTAGTTGTTGAAGTGGTAGTAGTAGTGGTGATGGTAAAGGTAGTGTTGGTGGTTGAAGAGGTAGCGGTAGCAGTAGAAGGGGTTAGTAGCAAAAGTAATTGGTAGTTGTAATTGTAATAGTTAGAATTAGTAGTAAGTAGTAATAGTAGAAGTTTAGATGTTTACCTCTGTCAGTTTCTTTTTAGCATTCTGCGCATGCGTGTCTGTAGCTAAATATACTTGATCAGAAAGTAATTTCTGTAATAATTTGAAGTATTTCTGAAGATCTGTATCCTCTACTTCAAGTGTTGAAGAATGTCGCACAGATTTTCCAATTTCTCTTGCCTGGTCAAAATGGAATAACAATTCTTATTTACATTTACCTAAAAGCTATAGGTTGAGTATAAAATATATACGTTTACTGAGAAACTGTTACGTTATACATGTAGTAAAATAATACTTACTAGGACTTGTATAAATAATGAAAAACAAATACGATAAGAGCTCTGGTGAGCTTAAATGTCATAGCTAAAGGTGTTTTCTGCTAGGGGTGTGGTCTGCTAGGGAGTGGTTTGATAGAGGAGTGGTCTGCTAGAGGAGTGGTCTGCTTGTTGCATTAACCACTGCCGTCTGCGAAGGGTCGTTGTCATATTTTCCCGGGAATATTAATAGTTAATGTGTTGTAGTGTTACGTATCAGTACCCCTCTTTCATACAATTATGATATCAAAATCGATATAAAAATTGTTTCAAAAATGGACACTTCGTGAAAAATTACTGAGGAATTATCTAACAAAAAAGACAAAATGCAATGGGCCACAATTTACCCAAAAATAATTGAAATGCACAAAGGCTCAGATGAATTTGTTTTAATCCCAATGACAAGATAAGAAGTTGATGACTTACTGAAGATCATTTCTCTATATTCAGCACAAAATTTGGGGTTAAAAATCATTATTCTGCCCTGTATATTTTCTTATCGCGAAACCATCTCAAAATGTATCTTCACACTTGGTGGTAATACTTCTGTTAAATAAAGTTTGAAAATTCTAAGAAAGTAAAAGATCTTAAAAATACAGACGTTGCGAGCAGAATAAATTCTTTATACTTCAAATCCTTCTTACCGACATTCCCATATGTAACAATGTGCTTTATTTTCAGAAAGCATAACAACATTCTAAGGGTATTATATATATCATACAATACTGTTGTATCTTACTTTAGATCAATGAAATATGCAATTGTTGTTTTTTTGGTAAATAAGGACCAAACGTAAGTCTTCATAAATAGTATCTAAATATTGTTTACCTCCTCAAACATATTCTTCTTATTGTTCAGGTTTTCATGTATTTTCCCCTGGAAGCCTTTGTAATTGAGAATAACGCTGATTATACCATTGAAGTCTGTTTCTGCTGTAGATGTTTTATCTTTATACCCATCTGGAGGCATGAAGCATTTCGCCACTTCCCAGAAACTACTACACCACTGTGAAGCATCAGTGTTTTTGTAAGATGGACCAGCGTACCTATGCGCATTCTGTATCTCAGTTGTGAAATTATGGCATATCTTGTTCGGGCAGCCGACAGGATTATACCTTGTTGCAGCATTTCGATGATAACTGCATCTTCCACGTCCAACATTACATATTCTATTTGTTGGACATTTAATAACATTTTCCGTACAGCAATTCGAACACAACGTCCCACTAAATAGTCCATTTTGGTAACATATATCATCTAAGCATTTCAATTGGAATTGTTTGATTTCATTGCAAACAAAAGGTTCAATACCTTCTTTCGTAATCAACACTGCTAATTGAGATTTAACCCAGTTATTGTATTTCTTTTCTAAAAGTTTAGGGCTATAAGAAGCCATTACTTGCAAACTTTGTGTCTTCCAACTTAAAGAATTATATACACTGACATGTCTTGTAAACTAAGCTCCGAGGTTAACCTGAAAAAAATAATTATGTAAAATGCTATAGTATATAATTACATTTCAAGAGGGATCTTTCACTATCATTTAAAGGTGTAATGCAATACAATTTAATTTAGATATGTATTCAGGTATTTGATATACATCATGTACTATAATTACAGTAAATAAATGCAATTGTTTTGATACTCTTTAAGATGACAGTGCTTGTTAAAAAGAAATAAAAATGCAGTAATTCAATGTCTGAAAGTATAGGCAGATATACATGTATCAAACTTTGAATTTTAAATTTATAATAACAGAAGATATACTGAAATGAACATAGCTTGATATAATTAACGTTAATCTTATTTCCCTGTTTTCTATAGCTTCAAACCACATTATTTACAAGTATAATTACATTTTAAGCGCTTATTATAACTGTTTATCGAGTACTGTGTTACCTCATCTTGAATTAATCTGATTTGATCAAAGTAGTCTTATCAGATATGTTTTTACTAGTATAGCTTATAGGCTACAGCTCGTGTTCGCTATTCCTTTCATCAGTATTGACGAATTGGGGTGCCGATAATTCTTATATAAAATTGTACTATTTATAGCCTAAATCTTTAACACTTATTATGATTATGCATATAGCATAATAGCGAAGTAATGATCGAGTGTTCGATCTTGAGTGTACAGCCCCAGCCCCTAGTTCGAATTCGGGTAAAGGCATTTTTTTCTTTTAGCTTTTTTTTTAACGAACTGAATTTTTGATCCCCTAGAATCATATTCAGACAATGATATTTTAGAACATGTAGTTATACACACATTCGCATTCAACAGGTTACACAAGGCAGCACAATCCTGATAAGGGTTAAAAATGTACAATGGAAGAAAACATATATGTATAAATTAATGAGCCGACATCGTTAAAAAGGTCGCGATGGAATTCAGTGTTTCAAACAGAATAAAATCAATAATGCTATTCAATCTGTTCAATGACAGTTACAAACTAAAACTGCCATTGTCATGGTGTGAATACCCCCGCATACCACTTTTTCAGAATCAACAGTGGCCATTTAGAGCTCAAGGACAACCTCCCTGCCAAATCTGAGGTTACTCAGCCAGTGCATTGCTAAGTTATGTATTCTACATGCTTCAAATGTGAAAATGTCAAAATCAATACACTGCGGACAGGCATTCTTAATCATTTGAGCAGATATGCTCATTACAGCAGATATGCTCATTACAGTAAAATCTCTGTGATCTTGACCTTTGACAAAGTCACCTAAAAATCAAAAGGGGTCATTTACTAGTCATAAACAACCCCAATACCAAATATGTCAAGACTGTTGACCAAAGCATTCTAAAGCAATTGAGCTGACAAGCCTTTTTTTTGTCAAGGCTCCTGTGACCTTGAACTTTGACCCAGTGACTTTAAAATAAATAGGGGTCACCTTATGGTCATGACCAACCTCCATGTCAAATATGAAGACTGTGGGTCAAAGGAATCTTAAGTTATTGGGCGGACAAGATTTTTGAACTCGAGGCCCCCTGTGACCTTGACTTATGACCCTGTGAGGGGGTCCCACAAAATCAATAGGTTTATCTACTATTCATGACCACTCTAAATACCAAATATGAAAACTGTGGGTCAAAGGAATCCTAAGTTATTGGGCGGACAAGATTTATTAAGTCAAGGCCCCTGTGACCTTGACCTTTGACCCAGTGACCTCAAAATCAATAGGGTCATTCACTATTCATGAACAATCTAAATACCAAGTATGAAAACTGTGGGTCAAAGGAATCTTAAGTTATTGGGCAGACAAGTTTTTTGAAGTCAAGGCTCCTGTGACCTTGACCCTGTTACCTCAAAACTATTTGGGGTCATCTTCTTATCATAACCAACCTAAATACCAATTATGAAGACTGTGGATCAAAGGAATCTTAAGTTATTGGGTGGAGAAGCTTTTTGAAGTCAAGGTCCCTGTGACCTTTGACCCGGTGACCTCAAAACCAAAAGGGATCATCTTTTAACCATGACCAATCTAAATACAAAATATCAAGACTGTGGGTCAAAGGAATCATAAGTTATTGGCTTTTACAAGCTTTTTGAAGTCAAGGCCCCTGTGACCTTGACCTTTGACCCAGTAACCTCAAAATCAATAGGACTTATCTACTTTCCATGGCCAATCTAAATACAAAATATCAAGACTGTGGGTCAAAGGAATCTTAAGTTATTGGGCGGACAAGGAAAAATCGACGGACGGCCGGAAGGCCGGAGGACGCGATGGCCAAGCTGATTCCAGTATACCCCCCTAACAACTTTGTTGTGCGGGGGTATTATAAGGTACATCAAATTCTGCTTATCCGTCATAAGTTTAACTTTAAAATGTTCAAAAAAAATTTAAAAAGAGAAATTTAAAGTTACGTGACACACTCTAAAAATGTGTTCTGAAAGTAAACATGTGCATGTGTTGAAGATTTGAACTCGAACTCGGAAAACCATGTTTCATTATAACCTGAGTTCTTCATTATCCAATACTCTACTCAGATTTACGTGTCCACATCCAAATTTATTCTTCTAGTTTGCAATGAAAATTCAAAATGTAATAATTGGAGAACTTAAACCACCCATTATATCATAATGGTACGAACGATTAATGACTACAACAATCGAGTTCGGCTTAAAGGCCAGGTATAAAATAAGTCAATAATGACGTCAAAAAAGGTGTCGTATTTCACAATATAATAATATAATAATCAGTTCAATAAAAACAAACGCTTTTCTTAAGCTTTCGACGTTTAGTCTTCTTCAGAAAAATTGACGTTTATAAAATAACAAATGACAAATGACGCAACGTCCGTTTAACTATACGCTAAACCGAACGTGACGTTAACGCGGGAATAAAAACTTTGTCAAATAAATACAGAATCTTTCATGAATACAGCAATATACAATAAATTACACATATAATATGGATCTGCAAATGTGATACAAAAATTCTCATAATTAATAATAATAAAAAAACCTTGATATGAGGACAAACATACTACATGTATATGTATACCGGCACAATAATGACAAAGTTATATATTGTACAAAACTTTTGCATTCATACCATTAGGAGATAATGTGTTAAGCTTATGAATCCAGTATGATTCTTGTAATAAGCGTTCCATATCATCGGTGACAATATCTATAGGCATAAATTTAAAATCCTTCATACAATGATTGGTTTTATTAAAGTGTGTAGCGACATTGGTCGAAAATAACGGATCGGAAAAAATTGTTAATATCAAACCTATGGCTATTCATGCGTTTAGACACTTGTTGCTTCGTTTGACCAACATATTGCTCTTTACATTTATCACAAGTGACAAGTGACAAGATATATAACATTTTTCGTAGAAACAATCAGTATTGTTTTTTTACATGATAATTCTTACCAGGAATATTAGTACTACTAAATATATTGCTTTCAATAATGGAGCTGCAATGTGTACATCTACTTCTATTACATTTTGATGAACTTTTCGCATTTTTGTTATTAGACCTAATATTAGAATTAACGAGAATGTCTTTTAGATTTTTAGGTCTTTTAAATGCAACCAAAGGTTTACTTTCATGAAGCTTTTGCACAGAACATTTACTTGAAAGTTTAAGTAAATCCCAATACTTTTTTAATTATATTACTAATATTAGGTTAAAGTTGGGTTATACTCAACAACAAAGGGAATAACACTGCCATCACTTGTTTTGTTGTTAGTACACAGGGCCTCATCCTGTGTTAGACATGAAACCTTACTTAGTGCATTATCAATAACATTGATAGGATAATTTCTTGCTTTGAAGTATGTACGTAAATTCTGTAAAGAATCGTTTGAAAAACATTATCGTCAGAAATGATACGGCGATAACGTTTTCCTTGACTGTACGGAATACCATTTTTACAAGATACTGGGTGACAGGAAGAGTATTCTAAATACTGATGATTATCTGTCTCTTTAACATGTATATCAGTGTGAATAATATTGTTTTCGTCTAATGAAACGTTTACATCTAAAAATGATACGAGAGATTTAGAAACGTTCGCTGTAAATTTTATAGATGGATGAAAGTTATTCAAACTATCAATGAAAGCATTCAAATCATCAAGGGAATAACTCCATATACAAAATATATCATCAAGAAAACGGAACCATAAACTAGGTTTTAAAGAACGTTGGCTTAAAAAGTCATTTTCAAATTTACCCATAAAAAGCGAAGCGTAAGAGGGTGCCATAGAACTTCCCATTGCTGTTCCCATTTTTTGTATATAATGATGTTGAATTGAAAGTTATTATTTTCTAGGACTAAGGAAAGAAGTTTACATATTTCATTACATGAAAGATTTTTGGGGGGATTTCTCTCTAAAAATGTCTGCAAGATTCTACTCCGTCTGTATGGGGAATGTTCGTATATAGAGATGTAACATCTAACGTAACAAGGTAATGTTCTCCTGCCCCAAGAGAGGTGGTTTTTAGTTTGGCAATAAAATCAGAAGTGTCCCGGATATACGAAGGTAGATTATGTGTTAATGGCTTTAAAATGGAATCTAGGTACTTAGAAATATTTTCTGTTCTTGATTTACAACCGGAAACGATCGGGCGTCCAGGATAACCTAAAGGGTACAATTCACTATACTGCTTATGAATTTTAGGAAGGATATAAAAGCCGGGTGTACGTACATCTACCGGAAAAATGTCAAATTCATCTAAAATATTCACGTTTACCTTACCTAATTCATCAATACATTTTAAAATATTGCTATGAATTAAAGATGACGGATCATGATCGAGTTTAGTATAATACTGGGGATTATTAAGTTGTCTATTCACCTCTGCAATATAATCTTCTTTGTTCATTATCACTATAGTACTTGATTTATCAGCCTTTTTTATCACTATACTTTCATCGCTGGATAAACTCTTCAATGATTCGAGTTCCGGTTTTGAAATATTCGTATAATTCCTCCGTTTTGGTTCAGCCTTAA